AGACATTCTGGACCCCCAATATGGATCCATATTTTAACATGTAAAATGGGTATTTGAACAGAAACAGTTTACATAATTTGTGTGTGTGTTTACACACCTATACGTTATGAAGCTCACTGTTTATTCTCTGAAGTTTGAGAGCCATCACTTGAGGACAGCTAAAACTCAACTGAGAAACTTGCTGTAGAAGAAGGAGATTGCAGGGTCTCATCCCCAGAAATTTAGCACCTGTGGGGTTGTGTGCAGGGCCCTTCACTGTTAACAGACACTTTGTATGACTGGGACCTCCAAATATTTGGGCTTTCAGAAAACATTACTTCACAGCCTTGTTTATTTTTTGCTTCTGATATGTTTAAAGCTGGATAGATCATATATATTATCATTTGGTGATTCTAGTTTTGTATTTTGTTCTTCTTGTATTTCAAGTATTTTTAATATATTCATACATTTCTATGGGAAATTATTCACATAAAGGCTCATGTTTGTTATAACCTGATCGATCATTAAATGGGCCCTTTGAACCCATAAAATAGCCTCCTCTGTAATTTCTGACTTCACTTTTATTTACATGTATGTGCAATATGTCTCCTCTTTGACTTATTCTAAGAGGTTTTCCCATTTAACAGAAAAGTTTAACCCATTTGATATTTACCATCATGCGTGGTATGCTCATTCACACGTGTTATCTTCTTGTTACATGGCACGAGAGGAATCCAACTAGCAATTCTTTCTCCTTTAGCCTGTTTTAACCAAATATCATCCACCCGATATACTACATGAGGTTCCTAATAATTCTAGCATATCAATGGCATACCCTTTTGTAGTTTCCAGAGAAATTCGCCTTATTTCACCTTTTTTTATTTCAATAGACATACTGGACCAGGATTAGGTGGGGAGGAGGGTTGCACATCTGTGTCCATAAACTACCATTTTGGCCCTGCATTGGGACTACTTTTATTTTTTTTTTTTTTAATTTAGTTATACATTCATAAATATTAATGAATACAAAGTAAAACATCAATATTATTTATTTGGATGGCCAAGATTTCGGCGTTAACCTAAACAATGTGATTGTGTAAGTGTATCCATGATAATGTGCAAATCTCATCACAGGTGAAACTTGGGCAAATACTTAATTGGAAATGCAAATGGAGATTTGCATGGACATTTATTTGGTACAAGCAATTACAGGAAATCTGTCCCATAAAACTAATTAAATGAGGCTGTTATTGTGCACATGGAATCACAGAGAAAGCTGAGGCCTGCGCTTCTGATGACAGATTCATGCATTGGGGTGGTCTGCACAAGAGGACCCCAATTTGTTTCAAAATGTAGGACCCCATCAAACTGCAGATGATCTCTTCTTAGACATTAGGAAATCATAATACATAGATATTTTCCTTGTTTTACAGAAGGCTGATTTTCAAAGTCTTCCTAAATCTAACCATTGCATAATTCTGAGATGGTAAACATATGTTTGAAGAAAAAAAAAAATGACCTAGATAGATGAGAAGAATCCAGCCAGATTTCCAGGGCAGAATTACGATCACCTAATTGAGGGTAGAAATGTTAAATAAATCTATTGAATCATATAATTATTAGGAGATGGTGTTTATGCTGGAAATGTTTTAAAACTCTAAAAAGGTGCCTACTGTTTTATGATGCATGTTTACTGTATGATGGATCAGAAGACTTAAGGAATAAAGTGGAAATAGGCGAATATTAGAAGTCTTTAGATTATAATCTGTTCCAATTCCAATTTTTTTATGGTTTTAACCATGTGTAAAAAGTTTTGTAATCACTTAAAAAAATAACTTTTACAAAAAAGTTGAACAGAAGTGAAGTGTATGAAAGGGGAACTCACTAGCCTGGATTCTTTCTTTTCTCATGGATGTCTAAGCTTTGGGCAACTCACCACCATTAACAGATACACTGATTTTAGAATATGGGTTTTTAATGAACCAATAGTCAGCCAGCACACTGATCCTGATTAAAAGATATAGTGGATTCAGGACATGGTCTTCATTTCATAGGCTTAAAGGCACTTAGCACATTATCATTTGAGAAAGATTAAAAGTTGAATAACATTCGACATTTTTCGCCTAGACATTTTAAACTGTAGTTTGCCTTTTCTGTAAAAAACAAAAAAAGTGTAAATCAAGTTTTTGTTTATGACTTAGTTAAAGAAAAATGTATTCTCACAAGAATTATTCACACTCTTCTCCAAGAAATACACTTCTTGTTTTTAAATATAAAATAAGATATAATCGGACACTGTTCCATAGCCTATGAATACAACAGTGAAGCGCTGGTGAATCCATCGTTATGTGTTGCTCTCATATTAAAAGAGCAGAGAAATAAATCTTTCCCCTAAAAGGCACAGAACGCAAAACCTAAGGGTTTTCTCTTTGATGCTTACTTCTGGAGTTTTAACCAATATTTACTCCCTATGGCAGTGTAACATCTTCTCACGAGCGCAGGCTCTGATATAACACGGCCTCATTCAAATCCCGCCTCTACTACTTATCAGCTACAGGATGTTTTCAGTGCCTCAGTTTCCTCATTGGTAATGGTCATACTAATAAAGCATGCCTCATTAGGTTGTCGAAGAATTAAGGATTTAACATATGATCAGTGCACAGCAAAGGGTTTGCTAGTTAGGCACTACTCAATAGATATTAAATATTTTTTTAAAAACACCCTAGATCTAAATAAATACATTTTATTTATCCAAGGCCCCGACTTAGAGACTTTGTACTTAAAGATTCCTTGCCTAGAAGAGTTTCCCCGGATACCTACATAGTTTTCTCTCTCACTTCCTTAAGTGCTCACTCAAATGACCCCTTTTCAATGAGCCACCAGAGCGGCCAGTTCATGGAAAACTGCACCCCTGCCCCTCACATATATTCTTGGGGTCCCCTTCCCCTGCTTTACTTGGTTGGCACATAACGCCTTTCACTATCGAACATACTGTCTACTTGTCTTTTGTTTTTGTTCGGTTTTGGTTTTGGTTTTTATCTTCCCTCCTGCAACCAAAATATAAGTTCCAACAGAGGAGATAGCTTTATTGCTATCATTTTTAGAGCCTTACCATCAAAACAGTGCCTGGCAGAAACTGGACACTGGGTAAATATTGCTCAAATAAAATGAATGCGTGTCTGGGAAGGGCTGGAGGGGCTAGGGCGCTGTCTGCATGGAAACATGGTCTTCCACAAACCATTCTACTTCGTATTTTCAAGGGTGTGGGTTCGAAAACTGCACGAATTGAAGTCAGTGGTTCTCCCCTGGGAGTGAGTTCGGCCCTCAGAACACTTGGCAATGTCTGAAGACATCTTTGATTGTCATAACAGCAATGGGTGGACAGGTGCTACTGGTATTCAGTAGGTAGCACCCTGGGATGCTGCTAAACATCCTACAATGCACAGGACGGGCCCCCACACCAAGGAGTGATCCACCCCAAACTGGCAAGAATACTAACGTGGAGGCACCCGAAACCTGAATTAGCCGGAGGTAATTTCTTAGATCTAACTCAGCAGCACATAGATATTGTACATTACAAAGGAGGGAAGGAAGAAAGTCAGTAAACTTGTTGGTGTTTTGAAAGACCAAATACACACTGTTTTATGTGCAAAACAGAGGGAGATTTTTAAAAGATACGAAATAATAATGTTTACCCATCAAGGACTCAGTTATTCTACTAAAGGTGTATCTATAAAAAAAGAGGAAAAATGTATACATATATATGAGAGAAAAAGGAAACTGAATTGTAAAGGAGAGTCTTTGCTTCTCATCCTTTTAAACCTCTCTAAAATTGTGCTCCATGTTCCTGTTATATGTATTCTGTTTAAGAATAACTGACAAAGTTTTAATAAAAAAATTAAAAACAAAAAAAAATAGAGGGAAATCCCAGATTGCCATCTCCTCCCTGGGAGCCGGCATGACCGCCGATGGCTTGGAGCATTTGGCGACGAAGGAGCAGCTGTACCACCACTCTCTTCGAGTAACATCAGGGATATGAGAACTTGGGGAGAAATTTGCCAAGCAATCAAACACAGAGAGAGATGGAGAGGTGCAGTGTTTCCCTGTCTGCAAGCATTATGTGAGCTAGTCTCGTCTCATGGTGAAATTACAGACTGCTCCAGCCATGAAAATGCACTCAGAGCCTTGGAACAATAAGTTTTGGGGAAGAAATAAATAAAGCCTTATTGACTAATAAGGCTATAACAACTCTCTAGCAACCATTATATTAATGGTTGGATAAAAACCCGAAATTCCATCTTCTCGATGAGGACATCTGGTACAAACATTAATGTTCAATTAAGAGGTGAATTCAGATCCCAACTTTCCTCCTTTGCCCATCAGAACATTATTTGGTCCTTTCTCCTCTGAATTTTATTCGGCTCTCAACTTGCTCTGACATGTCGTCTTTTGGCTGGACATTGGAAATGGCCCTCCCTCTTTTTGCAAGAGATGCTCTCTGGCTTTCTTTCACAAAGCCATTCTCTGAGGCTGAAAACAAAGATGGCTACTAAAAAGACGAATACAACTTCTGAGAAAATGATCTTTAGTAGAACTGAGAATGACTGTCCAGTTACCAGCAATTAATCTTTGACGAAATGGGCAATAAGGAGGTAGAGACAGGCAAATGTGTTTTCATTAACAAATAGACAATCAGTCATAGATATGCATTCCTTGAAACCAAAGAGAAATGGTCATTGAAGATGGAAAGACTGAGTGAACTGAAAGGCTGACCAAAACGTTTTGGTTAGTTCAATCAATATTCGACTGACACAGAGAGAAAATTATGTCAGTTTCTATCTGAAACGACTGAAAATACTGTATTAGGATAAGGAATAACACAGTTGTTTCCTGCTATAGTTGGGAGTGTTTCCCACCCCGCCCCCTCCCCCCAGATTGACAAACAGAAAGCATCTCTAAACCATACAAACTTTCCCACTGTAAAATAACTCACAAATTGTGTATTAACAAAGGAAACTTACGGACAGCAAGGGAATGGCAACTTTTCCAAGAAAATCGGGGGGCTTATCTCCGTCTTCATCAAACACTGTCACTTCCAAAACATCATGGATATCTTTAACGGGACTGAACAAGAAACACACCATGTATTATACACAAAAACACACAAGTGAAGTCTGTTCCATGAAGATCTGAAAACACGGTTTTACTAATTAAGTCTGTATGTCCTTAGAGTATAAAACTACCATTTAATTAAATTCCAAAAATTAAATCAAACTGACTATATTCCCAAACCTTCCATCATAAAAGATTCAGTCACCCATGTGAAAAAAAAAAAAGTCAACTTTTTTACGATGACATGTTCCACGTCTACATGCACTCAAGGGTAGGAATCTTAAAGAAACAGGATAAAGAAAGACAGTGGGAGACGGGATGAGGAGGGGGAATAGGACAGTGATTTCAAAGTAGATGCCAAGTAAGAAGAGAAAATAAGATTTTCTTTACTTTAAATTAATGAAGAATTTCCTTAAAAATAAAATGGTGGTCGAAATCACTATTTGCTGAGCTCCTACTGAAGCTTTCTATTATTAAAATAAACATACTAAAAGTCCCATGCATAGTTCGAAACACTTTTTATGTTGACCAGAAGCCAGACATCAGCTACAATGAAAAATGGAACCATGGTCACTGGCAATGTGTTCGGCCAACAAGACTCTTGCATAAAGCAATTTGCAAAGCTGCTTAGTGGAGTTCATCCACTTCTCCCAGAACTTTGGGAACTTTCTACTTGGGAACCATCAACACCTTTCAAAATAAACCTTATTCTTTTGGTTGGAAGCACAGACAAGACAGACAGAACAGTTCTTTAGCATTGGGAGGGCAGCGTGCCACCATTTAGTTTATCCAAATTCTTTAAGGGCCATCCCTTCATGGTTAGGTGTCTTGGAATCGAAAGCCAACTAGGAAATATATCCAGCCTCCTAAACGCCCAAGTTTGAAAGACTGGACAGGGCATTGGTAGGGAGCAGGTAACTCAGATTAGCTGGAATACAAGGAGCCTGTGGGAGTCTTTGAGGAATTGCAGGTCATCTGTATTTTTCCAAAAGACTTTGGCAGACTACAAGCCTTCAGGCCTTAAAATAATGCTGTGACACTGAATGTGAGGCAGGTCTACATTTGTAATTTTCTTTAACCCAGGGGTGAATTTGTCTGGCTATATGAAAGCTTCCATCTACTCGTGGATTAATTTAGTCACTAAAAGATCTACTTTACAAATGCCTGCTGGAACACTCCCTTGCAGTTCCAAATGGTGTCTTCTATTATTAACACTAAAGTCCATAAAATGAAAGGATAAAAGGTTTTCAGAGGGAAAAAACACAATGAAATTCATTCTTGGCACATAAAAATGGACAGCAAGTTCCACTCAGGCACCCCAGCCTGCCCAAAACGTACCAGGGATAATTGGTCTCTAAGTTAAAGCCACACCCCCTGGATATTCCTAAGCCTAAGAAAAAAACCAAAAAAAACCAAAGAGCACTTACAATGTAAAAACTTTGTTCCACTCAGGGTTGAGGGTTTTGTAAATGGTATGTGTCTGAAGCCGGTCATTGCCTAACTCCAACAAGCAAAAAGGGTCGCTCTTCCCTGCAAAGAGAACACAGACACTGGTCAGAGACAAACGGATCTCAGGAGTGACAGAGGCCAAGTGAACAGAACCCACGTGCCTTTATGACAACAGAGCTGTGCTTGCTGGGAGAGTGGTGAAGGTGAGCCTGTTTTCAGCAAGCCCCACAGAAGCTGTGAGTGTGACACTAGGAGAGGAATTTGAATGTGATGAATGGATTGGGACTGACACTCACTCCAGACGCGGCCTTGACGACACAGGTCACAAAGGAGCAGGTGTCAGCGCGTCATGTGAGAGTCCATGTTTGTGCTTTGTTTGAAAACAGAAGCTCATCTCTGTTTCCTTCCCTGGATTCTCTTTTGAGTCAATATATTGGGTTGTCGGAAAAGTCATAACGCATGTTTGCAACGAAAAACACAGAAAAAATACGTCATGACTTTTCCGAGAACCCAACAGATAACTATCTTTCTATAACTGGAAGGCTGTGATAATGTATAGGCTTCCGCACGGTTGTGAGAAAAGTGAGAAAAAGTGTAACGTGGCTATGTAGGAGTTCAAGGTGCTCTGGGGTGAAGGGTCACCAGCATTTATAATCCTATACACAGAGGGTGCCAAAAAAATGGATACACATTTTAAGAAAGGAGAAAACTGTATTAAAATTTTAATGCTCGATATATACTGATAACAAGATGAATACAAGTCACGTGTGACTTCTGCAATGACAAGAAGGGCTCAAAGTGGTTCCCATCAGCATAATTGTAACACAGTTTTTCCCTTTCTTAAAACGTGCATGCATTTTTTCGGCACCCTCTGTATTTAGGACATTATGAAAACACACATGTCACAGCTTTGGTGCTCATAACCATCCAAGGGAAAGTATAATTCCATAAAGTCGATTCAAAGTTTTTATCTGAAAGACATAAAGCTCAATGTTTAACTTCTCCCACCTCATGTCTCCTTTTTCCACCCTACCTCACACGGCCTCCAAAAGAAAAATAAATAGATCAATCAATCAATCAATCAATAAATAAATAAATAAGGTTAGAAATCCCAAAGCCCAAAGCTGCGCCCTGAAAATTACCACGTAAAAATCCTCTCCATTTTTGTTGGGTTCGGAAGAAGGATCAAGCATCAGAACTGACAAGAAAAGAATGGATGGCTCTATAATGTCCCTACGACAAGAACACGCTGCCTGCCTCCGGAACGCAGGGGCGACTTACAAAGCCCGGCGGATGAAGTTAATTGGGGGCGTTAAGGATAAATGCTCCTTCAACAAATGGCCGAGGAAACCCAGGCCTGGGCCTGATGCAACCAGCACTCAGGCCTCTTGACCTGCTGGCCTCGCATTCCAGTCACTAAATGCATCGAATTCACTTAATAACCAGAAGCTCTGAGATACTGAACATCAACACAGAGCCTGACATGTACAGGAGCCTGCATGAAGACCATATATATATGTGTGTGTGTATACACACACACACACACACACACACACACACACACACACATATATATATATATATATATATATTTTTTTTTTTAAAGAGAATAAGACCTTATGCATTTGGTGAGAGTCAGTTTTAAACTGGAGACTTCATACTGCTGACGAATGGCCTGGACACATGGATGCTGGGCCAAAGCTTTTAAGCTACTATCTCCCTGGCTGGTTAGACAATGATCAAGCCACGGACATACATGAATAAGTTCGGTTTGTCAGTTACAAACAAAGGTCCCTGTCAAAATTCGGCAGAAAAGGAATTTTTTTTTTAAGGTTTTTATTGGGGAATTGTGGGAAGGGGAACAGACAAGTTGCTGTCGTTTTGTTCTTCAGTCTAGTTGTGGAGGACGTTGCTTCACTGGCCCAAGTTGGCACCATCATTGCGCTCTTCCCGGGCGAGGCAGATCAGTTGCCGGCTTCTGGACGGCCGCTCACAGCGGCTGCTGGCCGCTCACACTGGCTGCTGGTTACACCCGGCAGCCCATGGCAACCCACTGCAGCAGGGGCTGCAGACTACGCCATTGCCAGTGACTCATGGCAGCCCAGCTCCAGGTTGAGCTGTTGTTCAGCATCTTAGCTGTGGAGGGCAGTGTCACTGGCCCTCATATGTGGGATCCGAACCGGGGCCCTCTGGCTTCCCAAGCCAGTTCTTAACTATCGCGCCACTCGGCCGGCCCAGAAAAGGAATTTATAAATATAATATCGAGTGGTTCTCAGCATCACGGCAAAACATTGCAAAAATCAGGCTTGAGAAATCACTGGAAACCAAAGAACTGCTTAGGAATCCTTAGGCACAAGAAACTCAGCCAATAGCTCACACCAGCAAGAGTCTGGTGTGGCCTTGGCTTCCTGAGAAAGTGGCCTCCCAGGCCTTCCTGGCCCTGCCCCCTGAGTATTGCTACATCCACTATGAATTCTCCACTTGTGTTTCTTTGCCTGACTTGATGCAGATGGATAGGCCTCTGAGGAAGCACCTGATTGCTCTTGTGTGGCCAAGGACCCACGCCCGAATTGCCAGGGCCACAGAGGAAGTACTGGCTTTTTAGCTTCCGTGAGTGAAAGTGGGCCCTGACCCTTTCTCCAAAACACACAGTGGGAAATGCCCCAAACCTACAAGGGGTGTCAGCCAGTGGGACAGCTCAAATCAAACCAACAGAAAAATGAACCTGCCTCTACTCTTAAACGGCTTGGTTCAAGTCTGCTTTGCTCCGGTTATGTGTTTTGCAGGGCATGGGGTAGGGGTTGGGTGGGGCGGAACCTGCCAGCTTAGACCACACTGCCCCTGAACTTGGACGAGAACTCGGGCTTCCAGGTAGACAGAGCTAGATTCCTCAGCCCAAGCTGAAGCAGCTACTTAACCGTTTGTCAGACTGTTAGTAGGTGTCAGCGTTGCTCCTCCAAGAGACAGCGACATGACATTCCATCAGCATTCGCTCTGGGAAAACCATCTGACACTTTTAATGAAAGCCCTGGGGTTACCCCACAGCAGGGCAGAGGCGGGCAGCCAGTCCTGTGCAGGCACAGGTGGGCTCGAGCTGCGGCCCCCTCTCTCTTGAGTCAGCATGCTCTTAGCTGTCCCAGCTAATGAGGAACAGACTTCCTTCCAGTAACAGGGAACCTCAGTTATGTGTCTCCAAGGAACACGCTGCACCAACTCTCTAAAGATAATTCCGTCAGAGCTCATTAAAATGCTGCATTTGTTAATATTACAATATAAACAGGCATAGAGGAGGAAGAAACAAAGACATTTAAACGTTTATAGAGTAATTTACGGGCACTTTATGGATTGATTTCTTTCCCTTAAAAGGTTCCAGATATATGGGGACTTTCAATAAAATTTAAGTAACGAATATTTTTATTTGGGATAAAAATGATTTCCCATAACGAATGAAGTGTCCAAACGACCCCCAAGGGTACCGAGAGAACACCACCAAGCAGACACGTGGGTCTGTATTCTTCCTCTTTGTCCCACCTAATTTTACAGGTAAAACATTGACATGACCTCTTCTACCTCCAGATGCCATGTCACCTTAACACAGTCACACCCTTAGCAATTCAGTTTCATGGTGGTTTGGCACCTGGCACTCAACAGCCTTTGCTATTTTCAACACCACTTTAAAATTCATTGATCGTCCTTGAACGGCCAGTAGAGGTTTCTCATTTAAATAATTTTACCTTTATATCAGTTACAGAAGTTGAGTGACGAGAAATAAATGTATGTTAGAGGTCATATTAGTCATCTGACACATATTTATGAGCCACCCATTCTATTCCTGGACATCGGCCACCAGGTCCTTACATTCCAGGAACCCTCATAACAATCTCTGCTTTTCAGCAAATGGCACCTTTTCAATGAAAACATCCCTCACGCCTCCTGTCTGCGGACTCAGTTGCTCTCATCTCAGCTCTCCGACTGTGTGTAATCTTTTCCTTACACCTCTTCTATTCCACATCTGTACATTTTCGTTCCATGTTTAGCCCTGTGATTCAATGTAAGGGGCCTGATGCAGGCAGACTCAACATATGCACCCCCTCCTCTCCGCTGTGAAGACTGCCCAGTGAGACAGGGCAGTAGGGTCCCACCGATGGGGGCTAGCTAGAGGGAGGCAAGCTCCTCCCACTTTGTACAAGAAACCACACTTTCTGCAGGTCCTCATTGGATCCTCTATGAGGTGAGGATAGTTTGTGCCATGCTGCAGACGAGGAAACTCAAGTGCAGAGAAATTTAATTTGGTTGGTTAAAGTCTAGAAAGAATTCACAGTGGGGATGGACCTTAAACAAGGGTTAGGAGGGGGCTGATTTGGCTAGCAGAAAGGGGTAGGTCCTTCTTAATGAGATAGGGACAGATCAGAGCCTTACTTGTATTAACTAAGATAGATAGATAGATAGATAGATAGATAGATAGATAGATACATAGATAGATGATAGATGATAGATGCATAGATACATAGATACATAGATGATAGATGCATAGATACATAGATACATATATTAGCTAGATGACAGATAGATAGATAGATAGATAGATAATAGATAAGCCAACAAACAAATATATATACAACTATTGGGTTGTCAGAAAAGTCATGATGCATTTTTGCAATGAAAACATTGAAAAAATATGTCATGACTTGTCTGAGAATCCAATAAATAGTGGCCATCAGGAAATGTGAGATATGGGTAGATAAATACAGACACTGGCTTGAAGCCCTGAAGACTATGCTCTCGACCCCAGCAGTACACCTCTCACTAGATACTCCCAGTTGAATTAGTCACTTCATGTGATGGCAAGGACCAATTCCTATTCTTCATCATGTCCCCAGGGGCCACCACAGACTTTCACACAGAGGAGGTATATCTGCTGAATAAATTAAGATATTACTAGGAACCCAACCACTAAGATCGAAGTGATTCCTTTGTTAATTCACAGAACAGCACAAGTGAACTGAATATATTCACTCTCATGGTGACAGTAAGTGACAAACTACTAAGTCTTCTATATGCTCCCAAACTTTACATTGACA